CTCATGGTCATCCTGTCGTCCACTAGGACCCCCAGGTCCCTCTCCCCTACACTGCTCTCTAACAGGTCGTTCCCCAACCTATACTGGAACCTGGGGTTGTTCCTGCCCAGATGCAGGACTCTACACTTTCCCTTGTTATATTTCATCAAGTTACTCCCTGCCCAACTCTCCAGCCTGTCCAGGTCTCGCTGGATGGCAGCACAGCCTTCTGGCGTGTCAGCCACTCCTCCCAGCTTAGTGTCATCAGCAAACTTGCTGATAGTACACTCAATTCCCTCATCTAAATCATTGATGAATATATTAAATAATACTGGTCCCAGTACTGACCCTTGAGGCACTCCACTAGATACAGGCCTCCAACTAGACTCCGCCCCATAGACTACAACTCTCTGGCTTCTCTCCTTCAGCCAGTTCACAGTCCACCTCACTACCTGATCATCCAGACCACACTTCCTCAATTTAGCTGTGAGGATGCTGTGGGAGACTGTGTCAAACGCTTTGCTGAAGTCAAAGTAGACCACATCCACTGCTCTGTCATCATCCATCCACCGTGTTATTTCCTCATAAAAGGCTATGAGATTGGTCAAGCATGACTTCCCCTTGGTGAAGCCATGTTGACTGAGTTTGGAAAGCTGGTAGACAGGAGCAGAGGCAGGCAGCCCACGCTGGCCAGAGGCAGAGGCAGTGCCCTTGATCTTGCTTGGAAGATGTTCAGTAAAGTGGGAAGAAGTTATGAAGAGCCACAAAAGCAGAGAGGTGGCTCATGGAGGGCTGTGGAGATGCGTGATACACTCCATATGATGGATGGGGAAATTATCTTTGCAGTAACACTCCAGACAGGCTGTGAACAGAACAAGAGTACATTTGCTAAGGACAGAGAAGACGGTGCTGCAGTAATTGAGAAATGTCTTTCTTCTTAAGACTAGAAATTTAAGACAGCACTCCCCTTCAAATTCACTCTGTCTGTGTGGGATGCCCCTTACTTTCGAAGTACTCAGGTTTTGTCCCATAAAAATGTATGAAGTTTAATCATTAATGTCAGCATATGGCCCTTACAGACCTTTTGTTTGCTTCTGAAACCTCCCTCTACTGTATTCAGACGGGGATGTTGTGGTCTCCTGGAGGCTCACATGGTGATTTTTGGTTTTGTTTATTTTGTTACCATGAACAAATAATCTTTGCTGCTGCAAATATTCAACATCTAGCAAAGCCTGGCAAAATAAATTGGAAGGATGAGACTCCCAGTTGAGCTTGGTAGTCAGGTATACCAAAGAGCTATCATGCCTAATCTTTCAGTTTTTTTCTGCTCAAACACTTTATTCCATTTTACTTTGGAGTAATACTAGGCATCTAAATAATTTCATGAGGTAGGTTCTTCAATCATGTAGAAATAAAACTGAAATGAGAAATTATCACTTAAAGAAAGCACTGATTTGGTAACTACTTGAAGCCAAGCAGTAGATGGTAAGAGTGTGTGGGATGAATGCTTGGTGATGGGGGCCTGGAAATCATATTCTTATTGCTCACAGCAGTGGCTAAAAAAGAAATGGCTGATCCCATCAGTAGGGAATGTCAGGATGCTGCAATCAACATGCATGCAGCAGTTTCCTGAGCCAGCTGTTGTCGCCAGCTTGGTTTTTCTAGCAGCTGGAAAATGAGTAATAGGGAAGGAGTGGCTGTACCTGCAGGGTACGGCTGTGTTGCAGCAGGAGGGCACCTGCATCCCTGGGGCCACATGGGGAGTGTGTGTTTAGATGTCAAAGATAAATATAAATAGGAAAGAAGCCAGAGATAAAAAGGACCGTAAGGCTGAAACATAAGGCACTGAGCATGGCCCCTCAAAACAGTTATTTTCCTAGCTTTTCCCCATGTAGCACTAGAAATGCTTTGCTGGTAGTAGGAAAAATTTAGGAGGAATTTATTATGTGGACCCATAGGCTAGTAATCTTGTGTTTTATTCTGTTTTAATTTAGATTTAAGGGCCAGGGTATCAAAGGTGAAAGGCTATTGTACATTGGTGATGCCCCTTGTCTCCTACTTTGCCCTGTTTAATCATGTGTTGTGTGATTCCCACCTTGCTGTTCAGCTGTTGCCACTAAGAGCTACTTTCTCTCTTAGGCTAAATGCTTTTTTGCACTTCTAGTCTGTATGTTTCTTGCATGGTCTGTCTGCATTTGCTATGTTACTTGGTTTCACTGCTGGAATAGTTTCCTTTTGTAGGACTTCACTCAGCCTGATTGCCTTGTTTTGTTTTGCTTTGATTTCCCCCCTGCCCCCAGTTATCCTTAATGTAGAGTACATTAAGTGAAGTGTCAAAATGAAAATATGACTTAATGAGATTTCCCTGCTTCCTAGGGAGAGGACAAACCTCCTCCTCCTGCTCCCAGAGTGCATGAACCAGCCCCAAGCTTACACAAGGGTGATTTTGACTCTTCTTTCAGTTCTAGGATGGTTTCATTTTGCATCAAAAGCCAGGAGCTTTTTTTTTTTTTTCCTCCTCTCTCTCCTCTGACAGCATTTTGTAATCTTCCAGTTCATATATTATATTGGAATTCATTTCAATTTTTAATTGCAATTTCTTCTTTCCTCACTTCCATACTTCAATTTTCTTTCCAACTGGAAGATGTTATAACTGAGCTTTCAGCGCAGGCACCCGTGGAAGTGCCTTTGTAGCCCTGCAGAGTGTTAATCTTGTTAATCTGGCCATCATTCTGTGATTGTGATTTTTTTTTGTTGTTGTTGTGTGGGGTTTTTTTGTTTGTTTGTTTTGTTTTGTTTTGCTTTGTTTTGCTTTGTTTTTTCCTTCCATCATTTTATAATTACCCAAGGCGGTAACAGCTCTTAAGAGCCTTGTCTGTCACCCTGGAGCCAAATGTTTTTCATGGAAAATTAAGGAGAGGCTTCAAAAGTTTGAGTTCTTTCAGCAGTGAAATATAACAGTCCTCCAGTAGAAGGTATTTTGATGATGGATCCCATTACACCAAATAATGTAGGATGCAAGTATGCTTCTGAGGTTAAGAGGAAACATAAAGACTAAAGGCTTGTGCTTGCTTTTGCAGACTGCAAGTGCTGGCTCACCTGGAGAAGGCACTATGTAATTTGCAGGGACTTTGTCAAAGTGCACAGAGCCCAAAAGCAGAGCCACCAGCTCTGCTGTTTTCCCAGGTGTTAATGAAACTATCTCCTTAAGCAGCACATCTGGACTGCTGCTAACTACTGATTCAGAGAAAACTCCAGGAACAAACTTGCCAACAAAGTTTTCAATCTGACAAGCAGGTATTCTTTATTGCAGCACCGGGAGACACGGGGGATAACTCCGCGTAACGTGTTTCCCTGTATTGCTATACAAGCCATCCTTATATAGCCCCTGGGCATACATACATATTCATGAGGCTTCATATGGATTACATCATTTTCTAGAGAGTTCCCCGCATGCGTACAGAATTGTGATGGTGGTCTCTGAGGGCTGTTTACTTCTTCCAACAGTCTTCATCACTTCTGGCAGCCTTTGAAGCACGCGCAGTAGATGCTCATACCAGTTTAATTGGTTCGTTAAGCACCAGAGACATAATAAGCCTCCTATCCTCCTACTTATCAGTTAATTTAACTGTAGCCCATCCTGGAAACCTGTGGTTCCCAGATACTCCTTATCCCTGTGTCCTGTTCTTCTAGACTGTTTTTCTTAAAACTATGTCAACTATAATGATTTATCTTGTGAGAATTCTCAGTATGTTCTCTAGCTGTTCTCCATTTTTTTCTCTATGTATCATGCACCTCAGTAATTTTCCATTGCTACTGTTACAAAGCCATCAAACTTAACATTAACTAAAACTAATTCTAAAGGTTTCTATATTCCATTTTGTGATTTTGTGCCCCTTTGTCTCAAATTCCCCCCTTTTCCTGTCCTTTTGCAAATTCTTTTGCAATATTTTATATATTACCATTACTATCAAAAGTCTTTTTGAAATAATCTCCCATTTCTGCTTGATGCTGAATTTCATTCCTTTTCCAGTCTTCCTAATTTATCATATGCCATTTACAACACCAGAGGGGACATTGTATCATACCACAAGTAATCAATATTAAAATAATTAACACCAGTATTCCTGCAACCAGTTGCCTCAACCAGGAGAGATTGGGTAACCATGAAGTTAACTTTTTCCATGTTTCTTCAGAAACCCAGGAGGTGTCATCCATGGCCATTTCACGAAATATCTTAGTTTGTTTCCAAATTTCCTCCAGATCTGTTTTAATTCTGTCACTTTAGTCTGTATAGGAACAACAACTTTCATTGATTATGGAAGGAAACCCTCTTTGTGATGCCAGTAACATGTTTAGAGCCATTCGGTTTTGTAATATCACCTTAGATAGGCTAGTTATTTCTTGTTGTTCTGCCTTGAGACAAGGGGGGGGCACGAAATTACAAAATGGTATATAGAAATCTTTAGAAGTAGCTTTAAATAGTGTTAAGTTTGATGGCTTTGTAACAGTAGCAATGGAAAATTACTGAGGTGCAGGGTACATAGAGAAAAATATGTGAAGAGAGTGCAGCTAGAGAACATACTGAGAATTCTCACAAGATAAATCGTTATAGTTGACATAGCTTTAAGAAAAAACAGCCTAGAAAAACAGGACACAGGGATAAGGGGTATCTGGGAACTGCAGGTGTCCAGGATGGGCTACAGTTGAACTAACAGATAAGTAGGAGGATGGGAGGATTATTATGTCTCTGGTGCTAACGAACCAATTAAACTGGTATGAGCATCTACTGCGCGTGCTTCAAAGGCTGCCAGAAGTGATGAAGATCGTTGGAAGAAGTAAAACGACCCTCAGAGACCACCACCACAAATCTGTACGCATGCGGGGAACTCTCTGGAAAATGATGTAATCCATATGTAGCCTCATGAATATGTATGTATGCCCAGGGGCTATAAAAGGACAGCTTGTGGGGCAATTAGGGAGACACACGTTAGGAGGATTTATCCCCCGTGTCTCCCGGCGCCGCAATAAAGAATACCTGCTTGTCAGCTTGAAAACTTTGTTGGCAAGTTTGTTCCTGGAGTTTTCTCCGAATCAATTTGGCGACCCAGATGGGACCCTCTCTGCTCGGCTGCAGGACCCGCTGAGGAGAGGGCTCCCTAGGGCCCTCGGGAATTTTTCCCGGAGGGACCCCTCGGCTCATTCGGATCGCTGCGGGAGCAGACAAGGACCATCTCCTAAAAAGGTATTCTTTTCTTTTATATAGTCTGTAAGGTGCAAGGGGCACCTCGGTTTGGTTTGGTTTGGTAAATTGGTTTGGTAAGCGTACGCATGGTTTGGAAGCCTTCCGTAAATCGAGATAAGAAATCTCGTAGGTAAAGGCGTATACCCGGCTGCTAGCGTCCGTTCGGTATACACCCACAAGAAGCAGGGGGCTTCTGTGGTTTGGGTCCTGCAAGACACAGGGGGTATCTTGCAGAAAAGGTTTTGGATTTTACTGGAATATACCCAAAGGAAGCAGGGGGCTTCTGTGGTTTGGGTCCTGCAAGACACAGGGGGTGTCTTGCAGAAAAGGTTAAAAGGTGTTTGGTATTTGGTTTGGTTTGTGGCCTGTTATAGTGATGATATTGGTCTTGTGGTTTTTGGTATCGGTGAACTGTATTATTAATTGTGGCCTGTTTGATAGAATTTTAGTCTCTGTATCTGTTTCAATTGTTGTAACTGTGTGAGTGTGTCTGTGGGGTTGTGTGTGTGTGAGTGAGAGATTAATAATGGGAAATCAGCAGAGTGAGGAGATTATGAAAAAGAGTCCTTTAGGGTGCATTTTGGCACATTGGAAAGAACTGGGAGGGTCTCCTGGGGGCTCAGCAAATAAGAAAGCATTGATAAAATACTGTAACCAGTGGTGGCCTTTGTATATTTTGGAAGATCAGGAAAAATGGCCTAAAAATGGAACTCTGAACTATAATACATTGTTACAATTAATGTTGTTTTTGAGGCGGCAGGGAAAATGGGATGAAGTAATATATGCAGATATGTTTTTCACGTTGCGAAATCACCCGGAATGGCAGAAAGAATGTGGAATTAATATAGCACCTTCAGATCCTTTAGTTTTAGCATTAGAAAGAGAAAGGAAGCAAGCAGGGAACAGATTGGAAAGATGTTGTTCTGGTTGTGATATTGGGGAAATTTGTTTGAAACTTAAGAGGCGAACTGAGGATAACAGGGTTGAGGATAGAATAGAGGATTATGTTTCCCCAAAAGTACCGGAGCAGAGACCACCTCGGATTGAGGAGGAGTCCTCTGATTCAGATGAGGAACAGGAACAAAGTGTAAAACAAGAACAAAGTGTAAAACAAGAACAAAGTGTAAAACCAAAACAAAGTGTAAAACAAGAACAAAGCGTAAAACCAGAACAAAGTGTAGAGCAAATTTCCTCCTCTCCTGTTGCTTCCCGGGTTCGTAGTAAAGCTAGGACTGTTCTGCAAGCTCCTCTGAGGGAAGCAATGGGACCGGGGGGGCGTACCAAAATAAAAGTGAATTTTTCTCTAGGGGATTTGGATAATTGGAAGCAAATTGCAAAAGAGTATCGAAATGACCCTATAGGGGTAGCAAAGAAATTTGAGATACTGGTAAAAAGCCAGGATCCTGACTGGAAAGATATAGATGTAATCCTGGATGCATTAACAGAGACAGAAAAACAACTGGTTATAAAAACTGCTTGTACGCAGGTAAATGCTCAGATTACTGCAGGGGCGATAGAGGGGAGGGTTGAAGATCATATTCCCCTCTCAGCTCCAAATTGGGACTATGATGATGATGAAGATTATGCATCTTTGAAAAGATATCAGAATTGGATTAAATATGGGCTTGAAAATGCTGTACCTAAAGCGGTAAATTGGTCGGTGCTGTTTGAAACAAGACAGGGGCCGAAGGAGTCGCCGACAGAGTTTCTGGATAAGCTCAGAGGAGCTATGCGAAAATGCACCACACTGGATCCTTCCTCAGAGGAAGGAAAATTACAGCTTGCAAATTCCTTTGTGGGGCAGTCATCGGAGGATATCAGGCGAAAGCTTCAAAAGTTATCTGTGACTGAAATAAAGGATATGGAAAAGTTGCTGGAAGTGGCTTGGAAAGTATACAGGAATAGAGAACAAGTTAAAGATAAGAAATTAGGAAAGGTCGTAACAACAGCTACGATTGCAGCACTGGGGCAAGTGAATGAGGGATATAGTGGAATGAGAGGTCGTGGCCGAGGAATGGGAATGAGAGGCAGAGGTCGTGGCCGAGGCAGAGAGGGGGGTTATAAAAGAACTCCCCTCAGTCAGAATCAATGTGCAAACTGCAGAGGGTTTGGACACTGGAAATGGGAATGTCCGCAGGGAAAACAGACTCAATTGACCACCGAATTGGAATTAGATTGACGGGGACCTGGGGAATCTACCCTAGCGGATCCACTGGTTAAAATTAGGCTAGGGGCCACAGAGAAAGAAGTGGAATTTCTTATAGATACTGGGGCAACTTATTCTGTTTTGAACCAAGATTTGACATTAAAAGGGAAAGAGTCTGTAATGGTTGTGGGAGCTACTGGCCGTCAGGAAAAAGCATTCTTTCTAAAACCTTTAAAATACAAGATAGGAAAACAAATTGGGGTACATAAATTTCTATATATGCCAAATTCACCCAAATCATTATTGGGAAGAGATTTATTAGAACATTTGGAGGCAATTATAACCTTTAAAAGAGGTGAAATAGAACTAAAAGTAAAAGGGGACCAATTAATTGAAGCTATGAGTGTGTCAGTAATTCAACAGGAAATCGAGAAGTCCAGTTCACCCGAAGTAGAAGAAATCCTCAATCAGGTATATCCAGGAGTTTGGGCATCAGAAATTCCAGGTAAGGCAAAGAATGCTTTGCCTATTAAAATTGAAATAAAAAGGGGGGCCTGCCCAGTTTGAATAAAACAGTATCCTCTAAGAGTACAAGATAGAAGGGGAATTAAAGAAATAATTGATAAATTTTTAAGATATGGGTTATTAGTGGAATGTGAATCGGAGTATAATACTCCTATCTTACCAGTAAAGAAAGCAGATGGGAAAAGCTATAGGCTAGTTCAAGATTTGAGGGCAATAAATAAAATAGTGGAGGACATCCACCCTGTGGTGGCTAATCCATATACGTTATTGACCAAACTAAAATTAAATCAGAAATGGTTTGCCGTCCTGGATTTAAAGGACGCTTTCTTTTGCTTACCATTAGCCAAAGAAAGCCAAAATTTATTTGTTTTCGAATGGGAGAATCCTGACACAGGAAGAAAAACTCAATTAACTTGGACAGTATTACCTCAGGGGTTTAAAAACAGTCCAACGATTTTTGGAAATCAGCTAGCACGAGAATTAGAATCATGGAAGCCACCTACTCAGAAGGGGACTCTGTTACAATATGTGGATGACCTGTTAATTGCTACAGAAACAAAGGAAGAATGCATCCAGTGGACAGTTGAATTATTAAATTTTCTGGGACTGAATGGTTATCGGGTATCCAGACAAAAAGCCCAACTAATCCAAACCCGAGTTTCCTACCTAGGATATGAAATAACAGGAGGACAGAGAGAACTTGGAACTGCCAGGAAAGAAGCCATTTGCCAGACTCCACGACCGTCAACCATCAAGGAGCTCCGGACATTCCTGGGAATGACAGGATGGTGCAGACTTTGGATCCATGATTATGGTGTTCTGCATCCTTTTTGCAGGAACAGTCGACAGAACCACTAACCCACGACTGCTTGACCACCATAGAGACTGTATATTCGAGCCGACCAGACTTGAAAGAAAACCCTCTGGAAGATGCTGATTCTTGGTTTACTGATGGTAGCAGCTTTATGAAAAATGGCAAACGAAAGGCAGGATATGCTGTCACCACCACTTCACAGGTAATAGAAGCTAAACCTTTACCTGCAAACACCTCTGCACAGAAGGCAGAAATAATAGCATTAACAAGAGCCCTGGAATTGGCTAAAGGTAAAAGGATAAATATCTGGACTGATTCTAAATATGCATTTGGTGTGGTGCATGCACGTGGTGCATGCACATGGTGCTATCTGGAAAGAACGAGGACTTTTGAATACACAAGGGAAACAGATTAAACATGCTACAGAAATTTTACAGTTACTGGAAGCTGTTCAGCTACCTGAAGAAGTAGCTATTATGTACTGTAAAGGACATCAACAAGGTGACTCTGATCAGGAAACTGGAAATAATTTGGCTGATTTTGAAGCCAAACGAGCAGCTGAACAATCTCAAATCATGTCCTTAATCCCTGATGGCAAACTAACAATTGAAAAATCTAAACCTAGGTACTCAAAAGAGGATAGAAAATTGATTGAGGATCTAGAGGGACAGGAAAATAAAGAGGGTTGGGCTCAAATACCTGATGGTCGAATTGTAATTCCCTATTACCAGCTCTGGAAGTTAGTTCAGGAAGAACATAATAAAACTCATTGGGGTAGCAATTCTTTATATAAATATTTAGACAAACAAATTGTAGGAAGGAATCTATACACCACGGTTCAATTAGTGACAAAACAATGTCAGCTATGTCTTAAGAATAATCCTAAAACTGAAAACAGAAATCAAATTGGGACAACTGGGAGAGGAAGTTATCCAGGACAACAGTGGCAAATAGACTTTTCTGAGTTACCAAGAAAAGGGGGCTATCGATATTTGTTGGTGTTAACAGATACTTTTTCAGGCTGGCCAGAAGCATTCCCTTGTAGGATAAATAATGCAAGACAGGTGATTAAAATATTATTAAATGAAATAATACCTCGTTTTGGAGTACCAGCGGCAATTTCTTCCGACCGGGGTTCACACTTTAGTGCCAAATTGTTACAAGAAATTAGCAAAAAATTAGAAATTGATTGGCAACTACATGTTCCATATAGGCCTCAGGCCAGTGGGCAAGTAGAAAAGATGAACCATCTGATTAAACAACAAATTAGTAAAATATGTCAGGAAACGAATTTATATTGGTACCAGGCATTGCCACTGGCTCTATTAAGAATTCGAACTAAACCCCGGTCAAAAGAAGAGTTTAGCCCATTTGAGATTTTGTATGGAAGACCATATCAGTCCCAGTTTAAAGGAGAGAGTCTTCAGGAAGTAGGAGAAGGCTATCTCCGACAGTTTCTGATCAATCTGGGAAAACAGTTGGAGGAGATAAATAAGAGAATAGTAGGGACAAGAGCCAGAGGTTTGGATTATCCAATTCACCCTTTCAGATCTGGAGACTGGGTTTATGTTAAGAATTTTTCAGGAGATCCTCTACAGGAGAAGTGGAGCGGACTGTACCAGATGTTATTGACCACCTTTACAGCAGTGAAGATAAAGGAACAACCTGCTTGGATACATTATTCAAGAATTAAGAAAGCACCAGAGCCAGAGAAGACATGGCGGATCGAACCTTCAGGACCCTTACGTATGAAATTGCGTCGGTCATAATTTGGACTCATATGATAACTGGCGCACAAGCTTGGGACCAGAACTTATACCTGAAATTAGTGCAGAATGTTACTAATGTTTTTAATCGTAGTGACTGTTGGGTGTGTGCACAGTTGCCTAAATCAGGAGAAAGTCTGAATCTCCCATTAATTGGAGTTCCAATTCCTGACACTGTCTCATGGACAAATTTATGGGTGAACACTAGTAATCTGTATTCAAAGGAAAGTTTAAAATTTGGAATAGTTAATCCTAATGTAGATAACAAATATTATACCTGCGCACAAAGATGTATTACACCAGAAACCAGGGTAAGAAATTTTGCTTGTTTAAATGCCACAGATGTAGGTCACCATTCAAATTGCAATCATACTATTACTATAGATGGTATCGTAGTTCAATGGTGGCCCGTTCCAAAAGGGAAAGGATGGTATTGGCTATGTGGAAAAAATGCTTATAAGACTCTACCCCCCAACTGGAAGGGGGCATGCACCTTAGGTGCCGTAATACCCAATTTTACTATTATTGACAAGTACCCTTCTGGGACCTGGGTTAGAAGTTTTTCTAAACGGATTAAACGGGGGTTTAATCCTATTATTGAACGGCACACCGCATTTCATAGTTTTGTAAGAGGGCTAATTCCATCTTTGGGAGTAAGTGAATTAGAGAAGGCAATTGTAAATATCTCAGCAACTATAGAGGAAATGGAAAGCAAAAATATTGATATAATCCAGGCAGAACAACAAGAGATAACCAGCCTGTCAAAAGTAGTATTACAAAACCGAATGGCTTTAGACATGTTATTGGCATCACAAGGAGGGGTTTGTTCCATAATCAATGAAAGCTGTTGTTCCTATATAGACCAAAGTGGCAGAATTGAAACAGATCTGAAGGAAATTTGGAAACAAACTAAGATACTTCATGAAATGGCCATGGATGACACTTCCTGGGGTTTTGAAGAAATATGGAAAAAGTTCACTTCATGGTTACCCGATCTCTCCTGGTTGAGGCAACTAGTTGCAGGAATACTGGTGTTAATTGCTTTAATATTGATTACTTGTGGTATAATACAGTGTTCCCTCTGGTGTTGTAAATGGTCTATGACAAATTATGAAGAGTGGAAAAGGAATGAAATTAAGCACCAAGTAGAAACGGGAAACTATTTCAAAAAGACTTTTGATGGTAATTGTAATATATAGAAAAGAAAAGAGAGTTGCAAAAGAATTTGCAAAAGGATAGAAAAAGGGGGGAAGTTGAGACAAGGGGGGGCACGAAATTACAAAATGGTATATTGAAATCTTTAGAAGTAGCTTTAAGTAGTGTTAAGTTTGATGGCTTTGTAACAGTAGCAATGGAAAATTACTCAGGTGCAGGTTACATAGAGAAAAATATATAAAGAGAGTGCAGCTAGAGAACATACTGAGAATTCTCACAAGATAAATCGTTATAGTTGATATAGCTTTAAGAAAAAAAACAGCCTAGAAAAACAGGACACAGGGATAAGGGGTATTTGGGAACTGCAGGTGTCCAGGATGGGCTACAGTTGAACTAACAGATAAGTAGGAGGATGGGAGGATTATTATGTCTCTGGTGCTAACAAACCAATTAAACTGGTATGAGCATCTACTGCGCGTGCTTCAAAGGCTGCCAGAAGTGATGAAGACTGTTGGAAGAAGTAACCGACCCTCAGAGACCACCACCACAATTCTGTATGCATGCGGGGAACTCTCTGGAAAATGATGTAATCCATACGTAGCCTCATGAATATGTATGTATGCCCAGTGACTATATAAGGACAGCTTGTGGGGCAATTAGGGAGACACAAGTTAGGAGGATTTATCCCCCGTGTCTCCCGGCGCCGCAATAAAGAATACCTGCTTGTCAGCTTGAAAACTTTGTTGGCAAGTTTGTTCCTGGAGTTTTCTCCGAATCAGCCTGGATTATATTGATGCTTTTACTTTCCATTTCCTCTATGGTTGCTGAGATATTTACAATTGCCTTCTCTAATTCACTTACTGCCAAAGATGGAATTAGCCTTCTTACAGAACTATGAAATGCGGTGTGCCATTCAATAATAGGGTTAAACCCTCACTTAATTGGTTTAGCAAAGCTTTAATCCAGGTCCCAGAAGGGTACCTGTTGATAATAGTAAAATTGGGTATTACAGCACCTAAGGTGCATGCCCCCTTCCATTTGGGGGGTAAAAATCTTATAAGCATTTTTTCCACATAACCAATACCATCCTTTCCCTTTAGGAACGGGCCACCATTGAACTATGATACCATCTATATTAATCGTATGATTGCAATTTGAATGGTGACCTACATCTGTGGCATTTAAACAAGCATGATCACCTACCCTGGTTCCTGGTGTAATACATCTTTGTGCACAGGTGTAATATTTATTACCTGGGTTAGGATTAACTATTCCAAATGTTAACCTTTCCTTTGAATACAGATTGCTAGTGTTCACCCACAAATTTGTCCATGAGACAATGTTAGGAACTGGAACGCAAATTAACGGTAGATCCAGGCTTTCTCCTGATTAAGGCAACTGTGCACAAACCCAACAGTCCCTACAATTAAAACATTAGCAACATTCTGCACTAATTTAGGTATAAGTTCTGGTCCCAAGCTTGTGTGCCAGTTAACATATGAGTCCAAATTATGACTGACGCAATTTCATATGCAAGGGTACTGAAGGTTCGATCCGCCATGTCTTCTCTGGCTCTGGTGTTTTCTTTATTCTTGAATAATGTATCCAAGCAGGTTGTTCCTTTATCTTCACTGCTGTAAAGGTGGTCAATAATATCTGGTACAGTCCACTCCACTTCTCCTGTAGAGGATCTCCTGAAAAATTCTTAACATAAACCCAGTCTTCAGACCTGAAAGGGTGAATTGGATAATCCAAACCTCTTGCTCTTGTCCCTACCATTCTCTTATTTATCTCCTCCAATGGTTTTCCCAGATTGACCAGAAACTGTTGGAGATAGCCTTCTCCCTCACCCTGAAGACTTTCTCCTTTAAACTGGGACTGGTATGATCTTCCATACAAAATTTCAGATGGGCTATCCTCTTCTTTCAACCGAGGTTTAGTTCGAATTCTTAATAAAGCCAGTGGTAAACCTTGGTACCAATATAAATTCATTTCCTGACATATTTTACTAATTTGTTGTTTAATCAGATGGTTCATCTTTTCTACTTGCCCACTGGCCTGAGGCCTGTATGGAACATGTAGTTGCCAATCAATTTCTAATTTTTTTGCTAATTTCTTGTAACAATTTTGCACTAAAGTGTGAACCCCGGTCGAAAGAAATTGCCTCTGGTACCCCAAAATGAGGTTATTATCTTGTTAAATAATATTTTAATCACTTTTTTGCTTTATTTATCCTACAAGGGAATGCTTCTGGCCAGCCTGAAAAAGTATCCGTTAACACCAACAAACATAGAATCATAGAATAGTTAGGGTTGGAAAGGACCTTAAGATCATCAAGTTCCAACCCCC